AAGACTGAAATGTCTTGAGTCAATAAGTATTCAACCCCTTTGTTATGGCAAGCCTAAATAAATTTAGGAGTAAAAGTGTGCTTAACAAGTCACATAATAAGTTAAATGGACTCACTCTGTGTGCAACTATAGTGTTTAACATGATTTTAGAATTACTGCCTATTCTCTGTACCCCACACATACAATTATCTGTAAGGTCCCTTAGTCAAGCAGTGAATTTCAAACACAGATTCAACCACAAAGACCAGGGAGGTTTCCAATGACTCACAAAGAAGGGCACCTATTGCTATGTGGGTAGAAAAAAGAACATTGACTATCATGGTGAAGTTATTAATTACACTTTGGATGGTGTATCAATACACCCAGCCATTACAAAGATACAGGTGTCCTTCCTAACTCAGTTGCCTGAGAGGAAGGAAACCACTCAGGGATTTCACCATGACTGTGATATGGCTGTGATGGGAGATAACTGAGGATGGATCAACAACATTGTAGTTACTCCACAATACTAACCTAAATGACAGTGGGAAAAGAAAGAAGCCTGTACAGAGTAAAAAATATTCCAAAACATGCATCCTGTTTGCAATAATATATAAGGCACTGAAGTAAAACTGCAAAAAATGTGGCAAAGAAATGAACTAGGGGCAAATCCAACACAACACTTCACTGAGTACCACTCTTCATATTTCCAAAGCATGGTGGTGGCTGCATCATGTTATGGGTATGCTTGTCATCGGCAAGGACTAGGGAGTTTTTATAATAAAAATAAATAAAGCTACGCACAGGCAAAATCCTAGAGGAAAACCTAGTTCAGTCTGCTTTCCACCAGACACTGGGAGACAAATTCACCTGTCAGCAGGACAATAACCTAAAACATAAGGCCAAATATACACTGGAGTTGCTTACCAAGAAGACAGTGAATGTTCCTGAGTGGCTGAGTTACTGTTTTGACTTACACCAGCTTGAAAATCTATGGCAAGAAAGACTCACAGCTGTAATCACTGCCAAAGTTGATTCTAACATGTATTGACTCAGTTGTGTCAATACTTATGTAAATTAGATATTTCTGTATTTCATTTTCAATAAATTTGCTAACATTTAAAAACAATGTAATAATAATATGCCATTTAGCTGACGCTTTTATCCAAAGCGACTTACTGTCATACGTGCATAATTTTTTTTTTGTATGGGTGGTCCCAGGGATCGAACCCACTACCTTGGCGTTACAAGCGCCGTGCTCTACCAGCTGAGCTACAGAGGACCACAAATGTAATTTATGAGGTGTTGTGTGTAGATGGGTGAGGAAAAATAGAGGCAGCAGTGGCTTGTTGTCTCTGAATGGGAACCATACTTAGGCAGCCTGTTTTGCACTTGTCATTTGTGGGATCTTGTTCCGTGTAAGGTTTGTTTTGGTGTTTAACCTTGGACTTCACGTATCGTTTTGTTGTTTTGTAGAATTGTAAAAGTACTCGTCAGCCCGGTCCGGCCCGTTCCTGCTCCCCGCACCAAGCCAGTGGTGCGCGTCGTCAGTCCGGCACAGCCCGTGCCGGTCAGCTGCTCCACACCGGAGGCTGAGCAATCCGCTCCACTGGTGTCCAGTCCAGCTCCGGCCAGCGGGGCCAGACCAGACCAGGGGCGCTACGGGGGGGGTAGCGAGAGAGTGGTGGTCACGCCCGGAGCCGGATCCGCCTCCGAGGCGGAATGCCACCCAGCCCCTACCCTCTTGAGTTTGTTTGGCGCGTCGCATCAGTGGGGGGGGGTTGTCAACCCGGCTTGGGACTCTTAAAGTTAGCCAGTGTGTAGTGTCGTGTTGGTTTTTTGTCATGTCTAGAATTTCTAGTGTGGCGGGTGTTCCCAATCAGGCGCTGTGGCTTGTGTCTCTGTTGGAAACCATACTTGAGCTGTTTGATCATTTGGGATCTTGTTCGTGTAGTTGTTTTGTGTTTAACTTGGACTTCACGTATCGTTTTGTTGTTTTGTAGAATTGTAAAAGTACTCATTAAAAGATGTACGCATATCACGCTGCGCCTTGGTCCGTTGCTTATGACGATCATGACACGTGGAACAAGTCAAGGTCTGAATCCTTTCTGAAGGCACTTTGTGTATATATACATTGAACAATAATATAAATCGCAACATGTAAAGTCCCATGTTTCATGAGCTGAAATAAAAAAAAATTAAAAAATCTTATTTCTTTCCGATTTTGTACACACATTTGTTTACATCCCTGTCAGTTTGCATTTCTCCTTTGCCAAGATAATCCATCCACCTGACAGGCGTGGCATATCAAGAAGCTGATTAAACAGCATGATCATTACACAAGTGCACCTTGTGCTGGGGACAATAAAAGGCCACTCTAAAATGTTTAATGTTGTCACACAATACAATGCCACAGATGTCTCAAGTTTTGAGGGGAGCGCACATTGGCATGTTGACTGCAGAAATGTCCACCAGAGCTGTTGCCAGAGAATTTAATGTTAATTTCTCTACCATAAGCCACCTCCAACGTCGTTTTAGAGAATTTGGCAGTACATCCAACCGGCCTCACAACCGCAGAACACGTGTATGGCGTTGTGTGGACGAGCGGTTTGCTGATGTGAACAGAGTGTCCCATGGTGGCGGTGGGGTTATGGTATGGGCAGGCATAAGCTATGGACAACAAACACAATTGCATTTTATCAATGGCAATCTGAAACCACAGAGATACCGTGACTAGATCCTGAGGCCCATTGTCGTGCCATTCATCTGCCTCCATCACTTCATGTTTCAGCATGATAATGCACGGCCCCTTGTCTCAAGGATCTGTACACAATTCCTGGAAGCTGAAAATGTCCCAGTTCTTCCATGGCCTGCATACTCACTAGACATGTCACCCATTGAGCATGTTTGGGATGCTCTGGATTGACGTGTACGACAGCGTGTTCCAGTTCCCACCAATATCCAGCAACTTCGCTCAGGCATTGAAGAGGAGTGGGACAACATTCCACAGGTCACCATCAACAGCCTGATCAACTCTATGAGAAGGAGATGTGTCATGCTGCATGAGGCAAATGGTGGTCACACCAGATACTGACTGGTTTTCTGATCCACGCCCCTACTTTTTTTCAAGGTATCTGTGACCAACAGATGCATAACTGTATTCCCAGTCATATGAAATGCATAGATAGGGCTTAATGAATTTATTTAAATTGACTGAGTTCCTTATTTGAACTGTAACTCAGTAAAATCTTTGAAATTGTTGCATGTTGCGTTTATATTTTTGTCCAGTATATATAACTTATTTTCACCCTCAACTCTGCCTTTGTTTATCATGATTCAATAAAGGTGGTTGCTGTTGGTCTATGGCAATATGATGTCTCGGATGTTAGTCAAGGATATTTACTGATGGAAAGGAAGGGAAACATTTAACTGAATGTTCAGACTTATCATTGCTAACCAAAATAAACATGGATGAATGCATCTAGTGTCTTGTCGCAGCTGACACCTGTAACATAGCAGATAATAGTTATTTAATCCATGTGAAGGATTTCTGTTTTTCTGCTGCTCAAGGAAATATTTCCCATTCTAACTTTCATGGTTTCTAAACAGGCCAAGTTCCAGAGAGGAGAGAGTTAGTTGACATTTATAACTTATTTCAAACAGGGGTTGGAACCGGTTCAGGGAACAGAACCGAAAACTGGAAATAACATTTAGAGAGGAACAGAGAAAGTGATCTACACTGTTCCGGAATATAACCGTTATTTTAAGAGCATTGGAACCGGTTGATAACGTTCATTTACGTTCCGATTTTATCTTATTTTGTCCCACAAAAAATGCAAAAAAAGTGCCAATGCAAGGCCCTCACTGTCACTGTAAAACTTATTCCAGTGTCTGTCTGCCTGCGAGCTGAATCTCTTTGCCAGTGTGTGTAGGCTACCTGCCCCCCCCCCCCCCCCCCCCCCTCCCTCCAAAGCATGCATGGTCTACTGTAATGTAGCTACTGACGTTACAGGCGTGATTCAGAAATTAGGGAGAGATTTTTAATTAGAGAACAGTGGATTCACTTTTTCAATGCTAGTTAAGGATACTAAAGTTATCACGTTTCACATTGGATTTATTAACTACAAAAAGGTAAGACATGTTTTTATTTTAAGGTGCCACTCTGCAAAACAAGTTTGTTAGCTAGCTCCGGTCTAGCTCTCGAAAAGTCTAGGCAGCATTATGTATAATGTGATGGAACTGAGAGTCATGACCAAGGACTAGCTCTGGTCCAACGTTAGTTAAGCCAACTCTCCGAAGTTCAAAGACATTCAGCGTTCCTCCATAGAAGCCGCTCCTCCGTAGGTATAATTCTGTGGACCTAATTCAGATAATGCAGGTCATAACAGCAAGATGCCCAGCGCTTCATACCCAGCGCTCTCCTCAACAAGATGCCCAGCGCTTCATACCCAGCGCTCTCCTCAACAAGATGCCCAGCGCTTCATACCCAGCGCTCTCCTCAACAAGATGCCCAGCGCTTCATACCCAGTGCTCTCCTCAACAAGATGCCCAGCGCTTCATACCCAGCGCTCTCCTCACCAAGATGCCCAGCGCTTCATACCCAGTGCTCTCCTCAACAAGATGCCCAACGCTTCATGCCCAGCGCTCTCCTCACCAGGAACATTTCAGTCGCATATGGCACCCTACACTACACTTGTCTGTTCAATGCATGTACATCGCTTGGCTGCGCCATACCAAGCTGCTCTATCCATTTGTGAAGTCATTTAATGTAAACCAAATAGATTTCAGTAAAAAATAATGGTTCTGTTCAGAACTAAACAATTATAAAATAATTTCGGTTCCAACCCCTGATTTCATTCTTCTTATTCTACTTTATAGTGCTACTGATATGTCACAATGTTGACCAGGAAATGATCCACAAACAGGGGAAACCATGCATAGGCTGCTACAGGTTGAGCCACTCCCATAGTGTCTACAGAAAGGCCATGCCAACGTCAGTGTATACGCCATGCACATAGACCATGCCCACTATAGTCAATGATTACAGCTCTCCTTTTAAACTGAAGTGTGAGAGGTGTGTCATTTATTTGAGCTCTGAGGTGCGGGCGAGACACGTTATTCAGTTGAGCAGCAGTGTGCAACTCCTTAGCTCCTTAGATGTAGATGCTAATACCACCACATAGACCGCCATAGATACTGCTACCATAGACTAGCTAGCCATATGCTACAATAGACTAGATAGCCATATGCTACCATAGACTAGCTAGCCATATGCTACCATAGAGAATACTACATAGTTAGATAATAACCGACTAGTCATGTCTCCTCTTCTGTTGTCCAGATCTCAGAGAGTCTTCAGGAACTTGTCTCTGATCCTACTGAGTGGCTCTGTCTCTCTGTTGCTGTGGGCCGCTCTCAGAACCTGCTCTGACAGGAAGCCTCTCCGCGCTCCAGACCTTTTCCCTCTGCACTACGCTGCTGACCTGCCGGCCTGCTCAGCCATCATCAGAGGAGACCTGGAGGGTCTGGAGAAGGAACAGCTCAGCAGACTGCTGAAGACCAAGAAGAAGAGCCAGCAGCTGTCGGAGACCTTCTACCACAACGTGACTCAGGACTGCCAGAGATACGTCACAGACAGAGGGTTCATTACTGTGCCTCTCAGCCAGGAGGAGGAGGAGTTCCCCATCGCCTACTCCATGGTCATCCACGAGAAGATTGAGATGTTTGAGAGGCTCCTGCGTGCCGTGTACACGCCTCAGAACGTCTACTGCGTCCACGTCGACCAGAAGTCATCCGAGGACTTCAGGAGTGCAGTGAGCGCTATCGTGTCCTGCCTGCCCAATGTGTTTGTGGCCAGTAAGATAGAGAGCGTGGTCTACGCCTCCTGGTCCAGAGTGCAGGCTGATCTGAACTGTATGGAGGACCTGCTGAAGTCACCGGTCCAGTGGAGGTACCTGCTCAACACCTGTGGAACCGACTTCCCCATTAAGACCAACGCTGAGATGGTTCAGGCCCTCAAGCTGCTGAACGGGAAGAACAGCATGGAGTCAGAGGTCACCAACAACAATAAGAAGGGCAGATGGCAGTTTCACCACAACGTCATCAACACAGTAGTCAGGACAGCTGTTAAGAAGACCCCTCCACCAATCAACACCCCCATGTTCTCTGGCAACGCCTACTTCGTGGTCTCCAGGGCCTTCGTCCGTCACGTGACGGAGAGTCAGGAGGTCCGGGTTCTGCTGGAGTGGGAGAAGGACACCTATAGTCCTGATGAACACCTGTGGGCCACCCTGCAGCGCATGCCCTCTGTCCCAGGCTCCTACCCCGCCAACAGTAAGTACCAGCAGTCTGATATGAACTCCATGGCCAGGGTGGTGAGATGGAGCTACCTGGCTGGGGATGTGAGGAGCGGAGCCCCCTACCCCCACTGCTCCGGGACCTACAGGAGGGCTGTGTGTGTCTATGGGGCTGGGGACCTGCAGTGGCTGCTAAACCAACACCACCTCATCGCTAACAAGTTTGACCCCGAGGTGGATGACGTGGCGATCAGATGTCTGGAGTCGTACCTTCGCTTCAAAGCAACATACCGTGTATCATTAAAGACAGTGGAATCTGTGAGTTTCGTACAAAAACTATTAAATGCTAAAAGGTTGTAAATATGGTAATGAACATTTATTTAAAATATATTATATATTTCTGATTTGTACAGTATATTTCTGTTAGTACTGTATATTTATGACTGTACTGTATATTTATGATTGCCATGCTTATTTAAAATATGTTTTGGATTACATTGACATTTTAGTCATTTAGCACACGCTCTTATCCAGAGCAAATTACTATTAGTGATTGTTGTATATTTCTGATGGTACAGTAAGGAGGGTTGGATATACAGTAATGTATGTTTATTTATGTTTGTTTAACTGTTGGGGTTGCACTGTAGATTTCTGATTGCCATGTACTGTATATTCTAGATGTATTTCCTCCTGTACTAATTATTTATTACGCTAGCAGCACCACCTAGTGGAATGACCATGTCTAACTGGACACAGCAGTTCTGTAACCTAATTATTACAGTTCTACATGTGTATTCAACAATGCCGGGGTATAAGGTTGTATATCATGATAACTTATTAATTGCAGAATCAGCTCATCTTTTCTCGCTCTAATTAATGAACCATATCTTGACTTACACCAAGGTATTAAGGCTGCTTGGTACTTTGACTACTCATTAAGAGTTGTTTTTCTGTTGGAACCAATCAATCATTTTTGCACTGCTTACTGTATGTTGACTGTATACCCAAGACATGATTGTATCTAAATTGATTCCAACATGAAGCCCAGTCTTGTCATGTCATTTATTGTTACTGTGGTATATAATTTATTAAGAATAAATATGCCAGCTACTGTCATAACTATATGTCATACACTTTGGCAACAACGTGTTCTTCTGAACTCCCTAATAAATACAGTTAGACTGACGTCACATTCTAGCCTCAACCTCTGTCTCTTTAAATTGTTCTGTTTTCACTTGAAATGTATAGACACAATATCCTCCTTCCAGGCAGACAGACAGGCACAGAGAACACATAACATTTACATTTACATCATTTAGCAGACGCTCTTATCCAGAGCGACTTACAAATTGGTGCATTCAACTTATGATAGCCAGTGGGACAACCACCTTTTTTTTTAATGGGGGGGGGGGGGGGGGGGGGGTTAAAGGATTACTTTATACTATTCCAGGTATTCCTTAAAGAGGTAGGGTTTCAAGTGTCTCCGGAAGGTGGTCAGTGACTCCGCTGTCCTGGCGTTGTGGGGGAGCTTGTTCCACCATTGGGGTGCCAGAGCAGCAAATAGCTTTGACTGGGCTGAGCGGGAACTGTGCTTCTGTAGAGGTAGGGGAGCCAGCAGGCCAGAGGTGGATGAACGCAGTGCCCTCGTTTGGGTGTAGGGTCTGTTCAGAGCCTGAAGGTAAGGAGGTGCCGTTCCCCTCACAGCTCCGTAGGCAAGCACCATGGTCTTGTAGTAGATGCGAGCCTCAACTGGAAGCCAGTGGAGTGTGCGGAGGAGGGGGGTGACATGAGAGAACTTGGGAAGGTCGAACACCAGACGGGCTGCAGCGTTCTGGATAAGTTGTAGGGGTTTAATGGCACAGGCAGGGAGCCCAGCCAACAGCGAGTTGCAGTAATCCAGACGGGAGATGACAAGTGCCTGGATTAGGACCTGTGCCGCTTTCTGTGTACATTCAGGGGAGAGGGGACCATGGGAGGGGACAGTTCAGACAGTAACTTTTTTCATGTTGGATTCTTACAAAGACATCAGCAGTAAACCATTTCCAGGTGCTGTGAGACCTGCAGTAAAGCGTTTCCAGGTGCTGTGAAACCTGCTCTATGTAACTCTGTGGAGGTCATGTGACCAAAAATGAGGATCAAATCAAAGAGACCATAAAAATATATGAATCTCTGTCCATTCTCACATGTTGAATATAAAAAATATAAATGTAATGAAGAACATGCATCAAGCCTTAACAGAGTGCCTTAAATACATAGAAGATACATCAATAACTTTGACAACGTCAACATCTCTACGTTTGGCTTGATACATAAAAGGTTATACAAATGCAACAGAGCATGGTGGAGAGATTGGCCAGAGATTAGAGACCAGGAGGCTACTGGCCAATCCACCCCTACCCGGGGTAGAACAAAACAACTATATTACCCCTACCCGGGGTAGAACAAAACAACTATATTACCCCGTACCCGGGGTTAGAAGAAAACAACTATATTACCCCTTACCCGGGTAGCAACAAAACAACTATATTACCCCTACCCGTGGTTAGAAACAAAACAACCTATATTACCCCTACCCGGGGTAGAACAAACAACTATATTACCCCTACCCGGGTAGAACAAACAACTATATTACCCCTACCCGGGGTAGAACAAAACAACTATATTACCCCTACCCGGGGTAGAACAAAACAACTATATTACCCCTACCCGGGGTAGAACAAAACAACTATATTACCCCTACCCGGGGTAGAACAAAACAACTATATTACCCCTACCCGGGGTAGAACAAAACAACTATATTACCCCTACCCGGGGTAGAACAAAACAACTATATTACCCCTACCCGGGTAGAACAAAACAATATATTACCCCTACCCGGGGTAGAACAAAACAACTATATTACCCCTACCCGGGGTAGACAAAACAACTATATTACCCCTACCCGGGGTAAGAACAAAACAACTATATTACCCCTACCCCGGGGTAGAACAAAACAACTATATTACCCCTACCCGGGGTAGAACAAAACAACTATATTACCCCCTACCCGGGGTAGAACAAACAACTATTTACCCCTACCCGGGGTAGAACAAAACAACTATATTACCCCTACCCGGGGTAGAACAAAACAACTATATTACCCCTACCCGGGGTAGAACAAAACAACTATATTTTTTCATATTGTTACATTTTAGTCATTTAGCAGATGCTCTCATCCAGAGGGACTTACAGTTAGTACATTTGTCTTAAAATAGCTAGGTGGGACAGGCACATATCACAATAAGTACATTTTATTCAAAAAGTTGCTATCAGCAAGGTGATTGGGAAAAAAGCCAAGTGTGAGTGTTAGTAAAGTATACTTTCGTGAACTAACAGATGTTTTCAGAACATGGCCAGGGACTCTGCTGTCCTTAACTTCAGGGGGAAGCTGGTTCCACCATTGGGGTGCCAGGACAGAGAAGGGCTTGGACTGGGCTGAGGGGGAGCTGCCCTGCCGTAGGGGTGGGACGGCCAAGAGACCAGAGGTGGCAGACTGAGGGGGAGCTGCCCTGCCGTAGGGGTGGGACGGCCAGGAGACCAAAGGTGGCAGACTGAGGGGGAGCTGCCCTGCCGTAGGGGTGGGACGGCCAAGAGACCAGAGGTGGCAGACTGAGGGGGAGCTGCCCTGCCGTAGGGGTGGGACGGCCAAGAGACCAGAGGTGGCAGACTGAGGGGGAGCTGCCCTGCCGTAGGGGTGGGACGGCCAAGAGACCAGAGGTGGCAGACTGAGGGGGAGCTGCCCTGCCGTAGGGGTGGGACGGCCAAGAGACCAGAGGTGGCAGACTGAGGGGGAGCTGCCCTGCCGTAGGGGTGGGACGGCCAAGAGACCAGAGGTGGCAGAACGGAGTGCTCGGGTTAGGTTGTAGGGTTTGAGCATAGCCTGAAGGTAGGGAGCAGAAGTTCCTCTTGCTGTTCCGTAGGTAAGCACCAAGGTCTTGGAGTGGATGAGAGCTTCGACTGGAAGCCAGTGGAGTGTGTGGAGGAGTGGGGTGACATGGAAGGTTAAACACCAGGCGGGCTGCAGCATTCTGGATAAGTTGCAGGGGTTTGATGGCACAAGTGGTGAGCCCAGCCAACAGAGAGTAGCTGTAGTCCAGACGGGAGATGACAAGCGCCTGGATTAGGACCTGCGCATCTTCCTGTGTGCAGTAAGGTTGTACTCTACGGATGTTGTAGACCATGAACCTGCAGGAGCGAGATACTGCTTTGATGTTTGCAGAGAAGGACAGGGTGTTGTCCAGGGTCATGCCAAGGTTCTTTGCACTCTGGGAGTGGGACACCGTGGAGTTGTCAACCGTGATGGAGAGGTCTTGAAGCAGGCAGGCCTTCCCCGGGAGGAAGCAGTTCAGTCTTGTCGAGGTTTAGCTTGAGGTGGTGGGTAGGGCTGTTGCGTTGACCATATTACCGCCACACCGGCGTTCAAGAGCCATAAAGGCAGTCAAATTCCATGTGACCATTTAGTCATGGTAATTAGGCTTCTCCGAGCTCTGATGCTGCTGATGGTCATTAGTAGCCTACCAAACTTGCTAACTGCCTGGTACTCAGCACTCTATTGTCCCTCTAATCACTCTGACATTAATGCAAATGTGTTCGAAAATCTAATCAAACACTTCATGAGAGCCCATGAGCTCATGTTGTACAACATTTCTATAGGCTATGCAATTGCGCGAGAAAACAGAGTGATGGCCTCTATTAAAAAGAGGAGGATCCCATCAGCTTTCTAAAGGCTAGGCCTACTATATTTATTTCTCAACGTTCGTAATATTAAGCACATTGCTTCTCTTTACAACAGGAGTATAGCCTACCTGGCTGCATGAAAATGAACCACGTAAAAATCGTCCTCCATTCACTATTTAAGTGCATAGATGACGTGCATTTTTTCCGCTGCCCCTGTTTCGAGAGTGGTGCATGATAATGGTTCAATCTAAATCAAAAAACATTTCACACATATATTATTTAGTACAGTGGGGAAAAAAAGTATTTAGTCAGCCACCAATTGTGCAAGTTCTCCCACTTAAAAAGATGAGAGAGGCCTGTAATTTTCATCATAGGTACACGTCAACTATGACAGACAAAATGAGAAAAAAAATCCAGAAAATCACATTGTAGGATTTTTAATGAATTTATTTGCAAATTATGGTGGAAAATAAGTATTTGGTCAATAACAAAAGTTTCTCAATACTTTGTTCTATACCCTTTGTTGGCAATGACACAGGTCAAATGTTTTCTGTAAGTCTTCACAAGGTTTTCACACACTGTTGCTGGTATTTTGGCCCATTCCTCCATGCAGATCTCCACTAGAGCAGTGATGTTTTGGGGCTGTCGCTGGGCAACACGGACTTTCAACTCCCTCCAAAGATTTTCTATGGGGTTGAGATCTGGAGACTGGCTAGGCCACTCCAGGATCTTGAAATGCTTCTTACGAAGCCACTCCTTCGTTGCCCGGGTGGTGTGTTTGGGATCATTGTCATGCTGAAAGACCCAGCCACGTTTAATCTTCAATGCCCTTGCTGATGGAAGGAGGTTTTCACTCAAAATCTCATGGTACATGGCCCCATTCATTCTTTCCTTTACACGGATCAGTCGTCCTGGTCCATTTGCAGAAAAACAGCCCAAAGCATGATGTTTCCACCCCCATGCTTCACAGTAGGTATGGTGTTCTTTGAATGCAACTCAGCTTTCTTTGTCCTCCAAACACTACGAGTTGAGTTTTTACCAAAAAGTTATATTTTGGTTTCATCTGACCATATGACATTCTCCCAATCCTCTTCTGGATCATCCAAATGCACTCTAGCAAACTTCAGACGGGCCTGGACATGTACTGGCTTAAGCAGGGGGACACGTCTTGCACTGCAGGATTTGAGTCCCTGGCAGCGTAGTGTGTTACTGATGTTAGGCTTTGTTACTTTGGTCCCAGCTCTCTGCAGGTCATTCACTAGGTCCCCCCGTGTGGTTCTGGGATTTTTGCTCACCGTTCTTGTGATCATTTTGACCCCACGGCGTGAGATCTTGCGTGGCGCCCCAGATCGAGGGAGATTATCAGTGGTCTTGTATGTCTTCCATTTCCTAATAATTGCTCCCACAGTTGATTTCTTCAAACCAAGCTGCTTACCTATTGCAGATTCAGTCTTCCCAGCCTGGTGCAGGTCTACAATTTTGTTTCTGGTGTCCTTTGACAGCTCTTTGGTCTTGGCCATAGTGGAGTTTGGAGTGTGACTATTTGAGGTTGTGGACAGGTGTCTTTTATAATATAATAATAATAATATAATAATATGCCATTTAGCAGACGCTTTTATCCAAAGCGACTTACAGTCATGCGTGCATACATTTTTTTTGTGTATGGGTGGTCCCGGGGATCGAACCCACTACCTTGGCGTTACAAGCGCCGTGCTCTACCAGCTGAGCTACAGAGGACCACATTTATACTGACAATAAGTTCAAACAGGTGCCATTAATACAGGTAACGAGTGGAAGACAGAGGAGCCTCTTAAATAAGAAGTTACAGGTCTGTGAGAGCCAGAAATCTTGCTTGTTTGTAGGTGACCAAATACTTATTTTCCACCATAATTTGCAAATAAATTCATTAAAAATCCTACAATGTGATTTTCTGGATTTTTTTCTTCTCAATTTGTCTGTCATAGTTGATGTGTACCTATGATGAAAATTACAGGCCTCTCTCATCTTTTTAAGTGGGAGAACTTGCACAATTGGTGGCTGACTAAATACTTTTTCCCCCCACTGTATATGTAAAGACAAGATTAAATGAAGAATAGTCTGATGGGTGACAATATTAGCCTATCACTTGTGAATGACATATTACCACTTGTGAATGATGCTTAAGGCAAACAGCGCATTATTGTTGTTGCAACTTTTTCAAATCATAGTCGCCCACCTCATGTAGTATGTTTTGATAAGGTTTGTATCACAACTAAAGTGGCCAAATAACTTCTTAAACTTAAGCACATTAATGGGCTTTACATTTACATTTACATTTTAGTCATTTAGCAGACGCTCTTACAGTTAATGAGTGCATACATTTTCATACTGGCCTACAGTCAAGTGCAGTGCTCACTGGTCAAAAATCACTGACCTCAATGCATCATTCATTCACACTAACTCACTCACAAACACACACATTTACATTTGAGTCATTTAGCAGACGCTCTTATCTAGAGTGACTTACAGTTAGTGCATTCATCTTAAGATAGCTAGGTGGGATTATTTAAGATACTCTTTGAAGAGGTAGGGTTTCAGATGTTTTTGGAAGTTGGGCAGGAACTCTGCTGTCCTAGCTTCAGGGGGAAGCTGGTTCCACAATTGGGGTGCCAGGACAGAGAAGGGCTTGGACTGGGCTGAGGGGGAGCTGCCCTCCCATTGGGGTACCAGGACAGAGAAGAGCTTGGACTTGGCTGAGCAGGAGCTGCCCTCCCATTGGGGTACCAGGACAGAGAAGAGCTTGGACTGGGCTGAGGGGGAGCTGCCTTTCCGTAAGGGTGGGAGGGCCAAGAGACCAGAAGTGGCAGAACGGAGTACTCGGGTTGGGGTTGTAGAGCATGAACCTGCAGGAGCGAGTCACTCCTTTGATATTTGCAGAGAACAACAAGGTGTTGTCCAGGGTCATGCCAAGGTGTCCTTTGCACTCTGGGAGTGGGACACCGTGGATTTGTCAACCGTGATGGAGAGGCCTTGGGGTGGGCAGGCCTTCCCAGGGAGGAAGAGCAGCTCCATCTTGCCGAGGTTGAGCTTGAGGTGGTGGGACGACATCCAAGCGGAGATATCTGCCAGGCATGCAGAGATGCGTGTCGCCACCTGGGTGTCGGAAGGGGGAAGGAGAAATGTAGTTGAGTGTCATCCTCATACAGTGCATTCGGAAAGTATTCAGACCCCTTGACTTGTTCCACATTTTGTTACGTTACAGCCTTATTCTAAAATGGATTAAATAAAAATGATCCTCATCAATCTATACCCAATACCCCATAATGACAAAGAAAAAAAAGGTTTTGACATTGTACACAAACAAACATCATTAGAATATCTTAATTCATCTTGGAAATATAGACCTGTAAACACAGAGATACAATTGAGCCACACAGTGGATGCATCATAATTTTATTTATTTTTATTTTATTATATTTCACCTTTATTTAACCAGGTAAGCCAGTTGAGAACAAGTTCTCATTTACAACTGCAACCTGGCCAAGATAAAGCAAAGCAGTGCGATAAAAACAACAACACAGAGTTACATATGGGGTAAACAAAACATAAAGTCAAAAATACAAACAGAAAATATAGATACAGTGTGTGCAAATGTAGTAAGTTATGGAGGTAGGGCAATAAATAGGCCATAGTGCAAAAATAATTACAATTTAGTATTAACACTGGAGTGATAGATGTGCAAGAGATGATGTGTGAATAGAGATACTGGGGTGCAAATTAGCAAAATAAATAACAATATGGGGATGAGGTAGTTGGGTGGGCTAATTACAGATGGGCTGTGTACAGGTGCAGTGATCAGTAAGCTGCTCTGACAACTGATGCTTAAAGTTAGTGAGGGAGATAAGAGTCTCCAGCTTCAGAGATATTTGCAGTTCGTTCCAGTCATTTGCAGCAGAGAACTGGAAGGAATGGCGGCCAAAGGAGGTGTTGGCTTTGGGGATGACCAGTGAGATATACCTGCTGGAGCGCATACTACGGGTGGGTGTTGCTATGGTGACCAATGAGCTAAGATA